CCCCCCCGGAGTCTCCCTTCGGGCCCCCCCGGAGTCTCCCTTCGGGCCCCCCCTCTCCCCGCCCAGGTCTCCGCCCCTCCAGATCTCCGCCCCACCCCCAGGCCCAACCCCACTGCCCCAGGCGCCCGCGAGCAGAGCTCGGGCTCTCGCCACAAAAGCCTCCTGGGCTCGGGGAGGGTTCCGGTCTTTCCGTTCCCCTTCGTTCCGTGTCCGTCTCGCCCACCGCCCGGCTGCCAGTCATGGCCCCGTCTTTCCGGCCCAGCCGAAACCGCTGCGGGCGGGAGGAGGATGATTTCTGGGAGGCAAAGGGAGACCGAAAGGTGAGGGGCCCCCTCCACCCCGCCCCGTTGGAAGGGCGCTTGGAGATCTTCTAGAGCAGTCCCTGCTTGCGGTCCTGGAGCCGCCCCGCGGCGCACCGCAGAGGCGGGATTCGAACCCAGGCCCTCTGGCCCAGAAGCAGCCGGGGTGGGAGCTGAGGTTCCTCAACCCGGCCTCGGGGTGCGGGGGGGCTTCACTGCGTCTCCCCCTCCCTCTTTCCCTCCAGGCCAGGAAGCCTCTGGTAGAGAAGAAGCGGAGAGCCCGGATAAACGAGAGCTTACAAGAGCTGCGCTTGATCCTAGCGGACGCCGAGGTAACCAGCCCGGGGGTGGCCCAGAGGAGCCCCGAGGAGGGGCGGAGGGGCTAGGGAGAGAGGGAGAGACCGAGACATCGACAGAGGCTGCCCCTGCCCCGGCCCATTTCCGCCCCCATCTGCTTACCTGTTTCCCTCCCTTTCCTCCGGCCCGGGTTAGTTTCAGATGAAGATGGAGAACGCGGAGGTGTTGGAGCTGACGGTGAAGCGAGTGCAGGGCGTCCTTCAGAATCGGTCCCTGGGTGAGTGAGCCCCCTGCCCCAGCTCTCCTCCCCCGCCTCCTCTTCGTCTTTCACTACCCTTGGGAGGGCTCCCCTTCCCGTACCCCTCAGTCCCCACTTCAGCCCTGCTCGAGAGTGTGAGCGCACCTACTCCTCGGAGCCCGGGGATCTGGTGCCCAGGGACTCCCAGACCCTCACCTCCCCCTTATCCACCTGTTCCGCAGTCAGTGAAGGAGCTCGAGCACCAGGCTCTGTTCTGGGCGCTAGGATCCCGGGGTCCTAGATTTCCAGCTCAGACTACCTTGCTCTCCCTTCTGATGGATGTATTCTGATTTCTAGTCAAATGTACATTTCAACACGTAATTTCTTTGAGGGCAGGGACAGGTTTTGCTTTTTCTTTGCATCTCCTATACTTAGTCCTCAAGAAATGCTTGTTCATTGATTGATTGATTGATTGATTCATCGATTGGCAGCCCCTTCACCAGATCATAGATTTAGAGCTGATGGGGCCCTTAGAGACTCTCCCGTGTCCAGGTTCTGATCCTTTTTTAGTGCCATGGCCACCACTGGCGGTCTGGGGAAGCCTTAGAGACCTCACGTCAAATTCATGTTTTTAAATGCATAAAAATGCATATGACAACAGTTATGCTGAAATAGTTATCAAAAATTAAAAAAAAAAACAAATTGACCTCAAGCAAAGAACCACTGACCTAACCCAGCCCCTTCCCTCATTTTGCAGATGAGAAAATGGTCCCAGGGAGGTTAAGCTCCTTGCTAGAGGTCTAAATCGGGAAGGGAGCTCAGAGGCCCCTTGGTGGATGAATCCAACTCTCCTTCCACTGGAATATGAACAGATCTCCCTGGCTTCTCCTTCCTTCCAATGGCTAACCCTCTTTAGCCCCTGAGGTTTTAGACAGCAGCGAGCTGCTCCTCATCAGAGGTCTCCAAGCAAAGGCTGGAGTGCCACTGGTCAGGGATGGTGTAGCAGGCAAGCTTTTGGGGTATGGCTTTGGCTCAGCCTGGCATGCTAGCCCTCCTCACTCAGTGCCTCCTCAAGGCTGAGCTCAGGAGTCATTTGCTGCTAGTGTCCTCCTCCCCCACCCTTCCCCTTGCCCCACCCTTGTACATTTCTTTTTGTGGGTGTTTTGTTTAGATCTATTTTTCTGGGCATGTTACATGATAGACTGTAAACTCCTTGAGAGCAGACAGGCAGGCTGGCATAGTGTTGCTTCTGACCTTGTCTGGCCTGGAGTAGGTGATTAAAAAAAAACTTGTTACTTGATTGATTCTGTGAGGCATCCCTAGAGAACACCCCACGGTAGAGTCTTGTACTCCCTCCTCAAGCAGAGGGACTGTTTTCCTTCTGTCTTTGCACCCCTATAGCCTGGTACAGTGCCTTGAATGTAGTGTAGGGGGCCGCTTAATGGATATTTGTTAACTGACTCTGGAAGCTGCTACCCCCACTCCCTTCCACCGTAGCCCTTGGCCATCTAGTGGGATGAGGCCCTTGGGAGGAAGGATCTGGGTTGGCTCGCTGCCTCCTTTCCTTGCCTGTGGAGGGAGGCTGGGTGTGTGCTCTCACCCTCTCTCTTTCTCGCTTTCTGAGCCTGTCTCTCTCCTGTGCCTGGCTGCAGAATCGGACAAACTCCACCGGGAGGCGAGTGAACGCTTTGCGGCTGGCTATATTCAGTGCATGCATGAGGTGCATACCTTCGTCTCCACCTGCCCCGGCATTGATGCCGCCATTGCTGCTGAGCTGCTCAACCACCTGCTGGAGTCCATGCCCCTCAACGAAGGCACCAGCTTCCAAGCCCTGCTCGGAGATGTTCTGGGGGACGCTGCGGCAGCCGGACCTGGAGGCAGCATGTGGCCTGGGGGAGACAGCTTGGGCTCCCCTGGGGGCCCCTTGTCCCCACTACCCAGCCCTCTGTCCTTGTCACCTAGTGAGGACATTTGCTCTGACCTAGAAGAGGCCACCGAGGCAGAACTGAGCCAGGTGACCCAGGAAGGGCTGGACGCTGCCCTCTGCATCCCCAGCGGCTTGGCTTCCTCTGCTGTTTCCAAGTGCATGTGGAGACCTTGGTGATGAGCTGAGGGAGGGGAGCTCCCTGAGCTGCCTCATGGGTTCAAGGGGGATGGGATGCACCTGGCTGGCTCCCCTTCCTTCTTCTCTCCCTCCACTCCTCCTCCTCCTTTTCCCTGGCCTCCTGCTACAGGTCCAGGCTGGACACATTGGCTGGATCCTAGATCTGTGTGTCTCTCTGTCTGTCTGTCTGTCTAGGGTCTGAGTTTGCAGACATGCAGAGTAGCTGGCCGGTGGGCTGATAGGCCCATACAGTTGAATTTCCCCAGTGCTCGTTGTGTGTTGGGGGGGGGGGGGATTTCATTTTGTATATTTTTCTTTAGCTTTTCTTGGTTCCAGCTTTTTCTTGGGGGGAATAGGGGACCAGTAGCAGCCCAGGAAAGGGCCCAGTTTAAAGTTAGTTCCCACCACCACCACCACTCCAAAGCCAAGGTCTAGGAGTCTGCTACACTCTTCTGCTTGTGACGGGGCATCAGGCAAGGGGCTGCGGTCTGGGGTGGCTGGGGAAACTTAGGAACCTGTGAACTGACTTAAATTTTACACATCACCCAAGTGTCCTAGAGAAAGAAGCACACAAAATCCCAGCCAGGGCTTGGTATTCACTTACTAGTCACTCATTTAATCAGTCAACAGACAGTACCTATTCTGTGCCAAGTTGAGGGAGGTAGAGGGTAATGTCAAAGGCCCTGCTCTCTAGGCACTTAATGATGGATAGGGTCCTGTGTTCTTTTTTCCTGCCATTAGTAAAGGGGAAGGCTAGAGAAAACAGAAAAGGGAGAGACACACAATCATACACACACACACACACACAGGGCAGGGAGCCCAGTGAGAAAAGAGCCTTCTGAGTGGTTTGCATTTGGCAGACTTTGAAATAGTATATCTTAGGGTGCTACCAACTTTAAAATATTTTTCTTTTAATAAAAAAAATGGATCTTATGGGCTTTGGGAGTGTGTGGTTGGTTCCTAGATTCATTATTGGACATGTGTCTTTTGTTGAGGAAACACTGAGCCACTCAGCACTTATTTCCTACACAAGGGATATTGTGAATATGTTGGAACCAAATGTTATCTTTTTGAAATTTTAATGCTCAGAGTTAGATCAGAGAAAATAATGTCTTGCTGGAGGCAGACCCTTGGGAGGAGGTGTTCATAAGGCCTCAAATTGTAACAGAATCCCCCCAATCTTGCTTAGCAGGGTCCAGCACTTCCAACTTTGTTTTGGGATGCCCAGGAAGACCCAGTCTCTGCCTTGAAACTTACTGAATTCTGTGCCTGTCTCTGCCACCTTTCCCAAGACACTGTAGAGGTCCAGAGAGACTGTTTGTCTCTTTGTGCAAGAATTCTGGGAGTCTGCCCACCAGGACACAAGTGGGGAGCAGGGATGGGCTAGCTCTAAAAGGGAAAGGTTTTGAGGACTCAATGAAGTCTTGCCATTGCAAACCTCTTCAAATGAGGGCTTGAACACCAAATCGGGGTTCAAACACAGAGGACTGGAGACATCCGGGGTACATCCGGGAGGAGCCTGGTTTGTTGTTACACAACACCTCCAGCTCTGGGACAACTGTCTTACGGGCCATGAGTTGGTATTGTGAAAGAGACTTTGGAATAATAAAATGAATATGGAGTTTATTAAACCTTTTAGGTTTGGAATCTTCTTTAAATAAAGGTTGATCTCTGGCCCTCCCCACTCCCCCTCCACCTACCATGGGGTTGTCCAGGTGGCTGTCCAGTTGTGCTGAATTCTCTTAAGTAGAAGGGAGTGGGGGATGGACAGGGGCCAGGCTCCCCTTAGACAAGTGAGATTTGATGGAAAACCCTTTTACTTTAGAGAGGATGGTGGGGTTTGAGGTGCAAATTAAGTGGGACTTTGAAGGTTTCCTGCCCCTGGCCAGAACTCAACCCTGGTAGGACCCATGGATACCTGACCTCCTTCTGCCTTTTGATGGTTAGAGATCCTCCTGTCCCACCCTTTGCTTTACATATTGAGAGACTGTGGCCTCAGAAGGGAGGGGACCTGTACAACATCACAGAGGTAGAGGTAGAGATAGAAGATCCCAGGTCTTCTGACCCCACACCCAATGTTCTTTCTAATACTCCAAGAAAGGGCTGTGGGAGGGAGGGGGAGGGTTGAATTCTGACTTCAGTGGTTCTGTGATCTCATCAGTCTCTTCCTCCATAAAATGGGGGATGGGGAGTTGCCCTCAATGGTCTCTAAGGTCCTAATTCTAAATCAAAAAGTCAACCTGGGGTCCATGGAACCTTCAGGGGATCTGTGAACTGGGATGGGAAAGAAATTATTTTCACTAATGTCTTAATTGAAATTTCCTTCAATTATTCAAAAACATAATTCTGAGAAGGGGTATGTAGGCTTCCCCAGATATCTGGTCAACAAGCATTTTTTTTAAAAATTTTTTTGGGGAGGGGCTAGGCAATGGGGTTAAGTGACTTGCCCAGGGTCACAGGGCTAGTAAGTGTGATGTGTCTGAGGACAGATTTGAACTCAGTTCCTCCTGAATCCAGGGCCGGTGCTCTATGCACTGCCTCACCTAGCTGCCCTTCAACAAACATTAAGTACCTATTATGTGCCAGGCACTGTGCTAAACATTAGAGATATAAGGAAAGGAAAAAAATGGGAGACACCATCCCAATAACTATGTAAACAAGCTATAGACTGGATCATTTGGGAGCAGTCCCAGGAAAAGTACTAAGATGAAGGAGGGCTGGGAAATGGAGGGTGGATGATGAGTACTATAACATAGAGTGGTCAGACTACCCAAGGGCTCCAGGACAGACAAGTCTAAGGATACCTGTGCTAAATTGATATTATCTGGTCCTAAGTGAGTCGTGTTCATGTTTAAAGAGTTTCATTGGCTCAAAAATGAGATGGGGGCACAGTCATCCTTTCCCTGATGACTTGGTCCTGCCCCTTATTTGCTGTCTGAGGTGACCTTGGCCAAGTCACTTGGCCTCTGGGCCTCAGTGGTGTCATCTGCAAAATGAAGGGTTTGGATTAGATGACCCAGGAGACCCCATCCAGTTCCAAGCCTGGGGCCCTGTGACCTCAGGCGTGGTGGTAGGGTTTTTACAGTGAGGTCGAAAAATCAAATTTGTATTTGTTCCAAGGCGAAGCTTTTCTGGGCGAGGGGCAGAGGAAATAATACAGACACACAAAAAGGATCTACAAAATACTTAAAAAAAAAACTTAGAAGGAAACAAAAATAAGAGAAAGTTGAGTTTCACGTCCAACCTTCTTCTCGGTTCATTGCATACAGAAATGTCTATGTTTGGCTGGTTAAGTTCATCATTTCATTTTAAAGAAGGATGAATAACTGGCCATCGACCTTTTAGAAGTTTTACTGGCCAGGCTGGTCTCAGGTTATGGGTGGGGGGAAGAGGGGAGGAGGGGATTGGGGGAGCAGTGTGGGATGGGGTGTGGAAGGCCTTTCCTGGGGCTGATCTGAAGGGCTAGGGCCGTCTGCCCCCCAGCACTGGACCCACCTATGCTCTTTCTCCTCTTACTTATGGGCCCTTCCACTGTCTCTAGCCCAGTAACACACTGAACAGTATCCAAGCTCCCAATCCCCTGTAATTCCTGCCCTCCAACCCCAGCTCAGGTTTCTAGCCCCACAGCTCTGATGACCACTTCTTGACCAACCATTTCTAGTTGAAAGAATTAAACAACATGAATTTGAGGGTGCAGTTGTATTGCATATGTGTGTTTCTGCTCGCGGAATTACAAATTTGTAGTAATAGTAATTAAAGCTAATATCTATATTGTGCCTACTATGTGCCAGGGATTGTGTTAAATGCTTTACAAACATCTCATCCGAGTCTCACACAATCCTGGGAGGTAGATGCTGTTATTATCTCCATTTTACAGATGAAGAAACTGAGGCAAACAGCGCTAAGTGACTCGCCCAGGATGACACAGCTAGTAAGTAACTGAAGCGGGATTTTAGCTCAAGTCTTCCTGATCCCAGGCCCAGTACTCTATCCATTTTGACACCTAGCTGCTGGCCCCAGTCAGATTTTTACCTCTTCCACCCACTGTGACCTCAGGCAAATCACTTTCCTTTCTCTCACCTTCAGGTTTTTAATTTGTAAAATGAGGAAGTTGGAATCCAGCACCTCTCTGGTCCCTCCCAGCTCTAACTGTAGGATGCTTGGGTCTCTGCAGCCTTTGGAACTCACCGTCCCCTACTGTAAAAGCAAAGAGGCTGGATTCGGGGAATGTAGAAGACTTCCCTGGGGAGGCGGCCCTGGGGCTGCTGGGTTTTCTAGCGTGGACAGGACTTCAGAGGAATCAGTGGGGGAACTTCTTAGTATCCCGTCTTTCTCCCTCCACTAGATCCTAACAGCCTCGAGAGCAGAAAGCTTCCCTGGGCCCCTCTGATGTAGGACACGATTTGGTGCAATGGGGTGAATGTTGCATCTGGACTCTGAGGTCCCATGTTCAAATTCCAGCGCTGCCATTTAGAAGTATTACCTTAGGGAAGCTATTTAACCTCTTGGTGTGCACACAGTAGGTGCTCTGTAGCCGAGCAGTTGCATGAAAAGATCCTCACCCCATCCTAGCCGGACACTCCTTTGTAATGTAGACTCAAGGGCAAAGTGGACCTTGGGCCACCAAAAGGGGCCCCTTTTGAATGTGGTTGGGCCTTCCTTAAGATCCAGCAAAGGGCTGGGGGTAGAGCCTGTTGGGCCCCTGGAGTGTAGAAGAGGGGGAGGGTGGCTGGTTCCCAGAACTTGGACTTCCCTCCTCTTCCTGGCTGTCATAGGGACCCTCCCAGCCCTTGAAGGCAGCCCAGCGGGAGAGGGTGGGGGTGGAGGGGTATGAGATCCTGAAGGCCTATCATGTGGGGGAGGGAAAGGGTGAATGGGGATCCTCATGGAGAGGTAGGGCCATGGAGGGATGGGCATTGCCTAAAACACTGAGGATGGAGTCCTGGGTCCCTCATTTTCAATTTCCTCGATACAAGAAGGATGGAGTAAGGGAAAGAGTGATGAGTTCTGACTGAAAGGACCTGGGTTCAAATCCTGCTTTTACTTCTTACTCTGTGACCTTGGGCAATCCTTTCCTTTTCTTAGGCCTCAGTTTCCCCCTCTAAACTGAGAGGGTTGATCTACAGCATCAGTTCCCAAAGTGTGGTCCACGGCCCCTGGGAGTCCCTGAGACCTTTCAAGGGGTTCCTTGATGTCAAAACTATTCTCATTAACAATACTAAGACAGTATTTGCACATTAAAATACTCCTCTCTTTTCCAACTGCATATCTGTGGAAGGCCATGTTTTCATCATAGACTTCAACCAAAACAACAAATCAGAACAGACTGAATGCAGAAGCCGATCGGAGAATCCTACTATCTTCTAATAAGCCAGTCATTAAAAGGATTTGCAACGATGCATAAAACATTTCCTCTCTTCTCAAGAAGTCTTTTGTTCTGAAAAATCTAGTTCTTTATCGTAAAAATAAGTTATTGGGGGCAGCTAGGTGGCCCAGTGGATAGAGCACTGGCCCTGGAGTCAGAAGGACTTGAATTCAAATCCGTCCTCAGACACTTGAGACTTACTAGCTGTGTGACCCTCGGCAAGTCACTCAACCCCATTGCCTAGCAATAAATAAATAAATAATAAATAATAAGTTATATGTTAATACGCAGTGGGTTCATTATTGTAATTTTTAAAAAATATTTTAAAATGTAGGTGTTTTAACTTCTGATATGGTCAATATCAATAGATATAATATATCTAATATAATAATATCTAATATAATAATATGATAGATATAAACCACATAGATGGAAGCTTCTGGGGAGTCTTAATAATTTTTTAGAGGAAAAAGGGGACCTAAAGCCAAAAAGTTTGAGAACTACTTCACTACATGATATCTATGGTCCCTTCTAACTCTCATGGAGATTTAGCTTTACAGATTTTGAGCTGGAAGGGGAAACTGAGGTTCAGAGAGCGGGAGGGACTTACCTAAGGTCATTGAGGTAATAAGTATCAAAGGGAGAATTTGAACCCAGTGCCTCTGAGTCCTCATTCATACCTTCTTCCACTGAACCACACTGAATCCCTTGAGAGTGTATTTGATTTTTTTTTGGGGGGGGGAGAAGACATTTGGAATCAAGTCCAATTGTCAGAATGTGGATGAAGCTTATAATGTATTTTAGTTGATAAAACAGTAGGCTTGGAGGCAGAAAGACCTGAGTGTGAACGCAGCCTCATATCCTGCCTGCTTATACAATTCTGGGAAGTCACTTGCTTCTTAGAACTCAGTCTCCTTGTAGAAGAGGGCTGATAAGAGCACCTGCCTGTCAGGGTGATTGCAAGGAGCAAATGAGCTACCTTGTAAATAACATCGTTGGCAAACTTTCAAAGGCCTATTACCACCAGCTACTGTTGTTGTTATTAATATGGCCAGCATTTGAATATAAATATAATTTGTGTCATAAAGAATAACAGACAAATAAGGGTAATGACCAAACCAACATAAGTAAAAAAAAAATCACTAAATATAAGACAAAGTTGGAATAATGATGAGGATGGGACATCCCCTGGCCATTTGGGTTCTGAAGAACAGATAATGACATATCAGTCCCTCCCCTCAGCACAGAAGTGGGAGAGCCTCCAGG